CCAATACTTTCTTTTATTTTCCATTAGTTACCATGTTTTAGTTTTTACTAGAAGGAAATGAGCCACGTACTATTTTAGAAAACAAATTAAATTAAACTATGTTTTCTTTGTTTCAATCTTAACTAGCAATAATGTACCCTCTTATGAATTAATTCAGCTTGACATTAAATGATTATATCAATGACTACGATAACTCAGGGGCGGATTTACCATGGTTGAAGCGGTGTCATCCGACACCGCTTCGCCAAAATTTTTTATTAAATATATATAATTGATACTATGCAAAATAAACAATTACATACAAATAAAATAAAATGACACCACTTCATAAGAATGGGCTAGTTGGTTCGATGGTCTAGCGCCGAAAATCTATGCAAACGTTTTACACTTTTGAGCAATAGAATAGTAGTCCTTTTTATTCAAAAGCTGTAGCATTCCGATTTTGTATAGGACAAAGAGAAATTAAACTCTCCTTTTTTTCCAAAAACTGTAACGATTCCGATTTTCTAACCAAAAACAGTAACAATTTTGATTTTGTATAGGACAAACTACAAAGAGAAACTAAACTCTCTCGTTCTCCCCTTTTGAGTAGGAAAAGGATAATTATAAACAATATAAAATCCATTGGAGTTTACTTATTTCATACCCTAATTTTAAAAAGCCTATTCAATATTAGTTGATGAATCTCGCGATGTATCATGTAAGGAGCAAATGGCTATTGTTCTGCGTTATGTTGATAGGAGGGGAAGTGCGATGGAGCGCTTTATGGGCATTGTTCATGTTACGTGATACTACTGCTTTGTCGCTAAGGAATGAAATTGTAAGTTTACTTACTAAACATTCTTTAAGTCCATCTTATATACATGGACAATGCTACGATGGAGCAAGCAATATGCAAGGTGATTTAAATGGTCTTAAGATCTTAATGCAAAAAGAAAGTAGAGGTGCTCATTCTATTCATTGTTTTGCTCATCAACTTCAATTAACTCTTGTTGCGGTTTCTAGAAGATGTAATGAAGTGCAAGAACTCTTATTGTTGGTTTCTGATATATTGAATATGGTGGGAGCTTCTTTCAAGCGTAGAGATGAACTTCGTGAATCTCAAGCAGAAGAATAGAAGAGGCATTACGTAAAGGTGAGCTTGAAACTGGTAAGGGCTTGAATCAAGAATTGGGTCTTGCTAGAGCTGGTGATACACGATGGGGTTCTCATTACAAATCCTTTAATAATTTTATCCTTATGTTTGGCCCTATTATTGATGTGCTTGATGCTATTGCTGTTAATGCACGTTTTGAAGAAAAATGTAAGGCAAAGGGATATCTTAAAGCATGTTTAACATTTGAAATTGTCTTCATGTTATATTTAATGCGTACTATTTTAGCAATCACAAATGAGCTTAGTGCAGCCTTTCAAAAGAAGGAGCAAGATATTGTAAATGCTATGTTACTTGTTGGAGTGGCAAAGGATCAATTGCAAGAACTGCGAAAGAAAGGTTGGGATTCACTTATTAATGAGGTATCTAAATTCTGTATGAAATATGATATTTCAATACCTGAATTTGACGAGCTCTATGTTATCCCTGGAAGATCACGTCGTAGGGTTGCTGAGTATACTGTTTCACATCACTACCGTGTTAAGGTATTTTATAGAATTATTGATTGGCAATTTCAAGAACTCAATAGTCGCTTTGATGAGGTGACAACGGATTTGCTTCTTGGAGTTGCTTGCTTGAACCCAGCTGACTCTTTTTCCAATTTTGACATTGAAAAGATATTGAGATTAGCTGAGTTATATCCTGATGATTTTGATAAATATTCTATGGTCGACCTTCGATTTCAGCTTCAGAATTACATTGTTGATGTCCGAGATCATGATAAAAGGTTTTCAGATCTTAGGGGACTTGGTAATCTTTCCACGAAATTAGTAGAGACAAAGAAGCATGGGACTTATCCTCTTATTTTTCAACTTGTAAAATTTGCTTTACTTTTGCCAGTTGCTACTGCTACAGTTGAGAGAGCTTTTTCGGCAATGAAGTTGATTAAGACTGATTTGCGGAGTCGAATGGATGATGAGTTTTTGAGTAGTTGTTTGGTGCCTTATATAGAAAAGGATGTATTTAGTCTTATTCCTAATGAGGCTATTATGAATACCTTCCAAAATATGAAAACTCGTCGAGGAGAGCTGTAGTAAGGTACTTTTTTTAATATGATATTGTTACTATATTTGTTTTTTATCTATTTCTTTAAATGTCGACACCCGCTTACGGAAAATCCTGCGTACGCCCCTGCTAGCATAATATACTAGAGTTCCAATATAATATGTTGGAAGTTCATACACAGGTGCTCCAATCTCCAGTATATTATGTCGAAACTTTCTGTGTGCCGGAGTTCCAGCATAATATGCTGGAAGTTCATACACAGGTGCTCCAATCTCCACTATATTATGTTGGAACTTTCCGTGTTGCAGCAAAATAGTGACTATTTTTTAATAATTTTGCAAACACTGACTATTTTTCAATTACCAGTCCGAAAAACTAGTTAGCTCGTGCTATGGAATTTTTACCTCCTATAGCAAAGGTTAACACCTTATTTATTTTAATTAAATACCATTTAAAAAAATTATATTTTATAGATACCTTTTAAGATTTATAGCAAAATATTTAATTTTGGTTACCTCCTAGCCATAAGCCACTAAATACGCTAATCAGTTACACTATTTTCTTTCTCTCTCTACTTTGATACATCCCATTCTCTTCCCCCATCCCATCAAAATTTCCGATCTCCTTGAAATTTCCTCAACATATTCACCTATCCTTTTCTCATTACAGTCTCCAGAGTCAATTTCAAGTTCAATCTGGACTTCAGAAGCATCTGGTATAATATAACATATCATGATTATTTTCGTACAATATTTTTTTGGTACTCTTAATGTGAAAAACATACTATAGGTAATGATTATGTTATGACGTTGAGGACGGAATTGACTGGGTCAGTAGGGGAAGCAGTCTGTCACGACCCGGATTTCCCACCCTCGGAAGTCGTAATGGCGCATACTCGTAGAAACGTAATACCCAAGAATGATACGAAAAGCCAACATGTGTCTCTACCCAGAAACCGGTGTCACAACATTCACTGACTGTCTATGATTACTACATACAAATATCTGAAAGAAAGGAACTCAGTCTGTCTCGGATACAAATGATAACAGACCCGAAATAGTAGATAGAAGAGACGCCGGGCCTGCGGACGCCTGCAGGACTACCTCGGGATCTCTGGACTGAAGGCTGGCTCCCAAGCTACTGCTGCTGTCCCAGTACTGCTCCGGTACCTGCACAGAGTGCAGAATGTAGCATCAGCACAACTGGCCCCATGTGCTGGTAAGTGCCTGGCCTAACCCCGGCGAGGTAGTGACGAGGCTAGGACCAGATTCCAGATAAACCTGTGCAGTTATTTATATATATACAGCGGGAAAATAAACTAGAACAAACAATTAAAGCTGGGAAGGGGAAACATGCTTCGGGAATAACTGATAAAACAGAACCTCAAGAGAATTATCAAGAAACCAAAATTTAACTTCTAACAAGAATAAAGAAAACAAAATGCAGATTTCACTCTTGGTTCACATCTTGTTGCTGGCGTGCAACCCGATCCCATTTCTCATATCTTGTGGTAGGCGTACCACCCGCTCCCATTTCATCAAATCTCGTGGTAGGCGTACCAACCAATCCCATTTCATCAAATCTCGTGGTAGGCGTACCACCCGATCCCTTTTCATGAAATCTCGTGGTAGGCGTACCACCCGATCCCATTTCATCAAATCTCTCGTGGTAGGCGTACCACCCGATCCCATTTTATTATCTCTTGTGGTAGGTGTACTACCCGATCCCATTACATTATCTCTTGTGGTAGGCGTACCACCCGATCCCATTACATTATCTCTTGTGGTAGGCGTACCACCCGATCCCATTCACAAGCCAACACAAAATCCAAGTAGTCCCGGCAAGGGAAACAAAGCAATATAATAACTTCCCGGCAAGGGAACAACAATATCAAGTCAAACATCCCGGCAAGGGAGAATTAGCTATTACCAATCTTAGTTCAATTTCTACTCACCTCAGCTAACACCAAATACCCAGCCATAAGTACTTTCCACGAAACAAACTCAATTCTTACTCAAGATCGAGAACCATCAATTTAAAGCATCCGTAGTATCATTTAAGAATATAACAATTTGCAATTTAAGACTCACAGTCATGCTCGACACCAACGTATAGATACTCGTCACCATGCCTATACATCGTACTCAACAAGAAACAAATAGCAAATAGGACTCAACTCCTAATCCCTCAAGCTAAGGTTAGACCGGACACTTACCTCAAACTTCCACGGCCAACTCAAGCCTCAAACACCGCTTTCCTATCGAATTCGGGTCCAAATCGATCGTACCTATACATAACCGACTTCATAACATCAATAAACGCTAAACAATTCAATTCCAATGCCAAATTATAGCTTTCTAATCATTCTTCCCAAATACCGAAAAATCGACCCCGGGACCGCTTGGTCAAAACACGAGGTTCGGACCAAAATCAAATCACCCATTCACCGACAAGCCCAAATATATAATTATTTCCAGAATTCGACCCCAAAACGAGGTCTAAATCACAATTAATCAAAAAGCCCTAACTCTACCCAAATCCCTAATTTCTACCCTTAATCTCATGTTTTAGGCCTAGAAATCTAGTGGGTGTTGATAAAAATGGAAGAAATCAAGTTAAAGATTACTTACCCAAGAGATTATGGTGAAGAAATGCTTCAAAAATCATCCTAGAGCTTTGGAGAAGAAGGGGTTTATGAAATTTTTATAAAATCCCGAAGGCTACTATTCTGGACCTTTTTAAAATAACTGGGCGAATATGTCCTTCGCGTTCGCGACAGACCCCTCGCGTTCGCGATGGGTCAGGCTGGATAAGCCTTCGCGTTCGTGTAAACGGGCTCGTGTTCGCAGAGAATGATCCCCTCGAGCCCTCGCATTCGTGTCCAATGGGTCGTGTTCGCGTAGGGTAATTGCTCCACCCCCCTGCCCAGGCCCACTTGGCCTTCGTGTTCGCGTGGCCAGGACCGCGTTCGCGAAGGTATAGCCCCCAACTGCCTCGCGTTCGCGACCTGAGCTACACGTTCGCGTAGAAGGATTTTCCTTCGACAAAGTTTAATGCATCGCGTTCGCGTGGGTTCTCCCGCGAACGCGAAGAAGAAAATATCAGTACACCAGATCAGCTGTTTCTGCAATTTTTCTTAAGTCCAAAACTTCCCGAAACACATCCGAAACACACCCGAGCCCTCGGGGCTCCTAACCAAACATACGTACTAACTCACTGACATCATACGAACTTATCCGTGCGATCAAATCGCCAAAATAACCTCAATAACAATGAATTAATCCTCAAAATCAAAGAATTTTTCTCAAACTTCATCAAGTATCAACTTTAGCAATTTAGGTCCGAATCATGTCAAATGATATCCGTTTTTCACCAAATTTCACAAAAACATCTTAAATCATATATAAGACCTGTACCGGGCGCCGGAACAAAAATATGGGCCCGATACTAACATGTTCTAATCAAATTTCATTTCAAATTTCCTTAAATAATTTCAGAAAACAATTTCCTTTGAAAATTCATTTCTCGGGCTTGGGACCTCGGAATTCGATTCCGGGCATACGCCCAAGTCCCGTATTTTCCTACGGACCTTCCGAGACCGTCGAATCATGGTCCGGGTCCGTTTACCCAAAACGTTGGCCGAAGTCAAATTAATTCATTTATTAGCCAAATTTCATCATTTTTCACTGATTTTAATATTTAAGCTTTCCGCCTACGAGCCCGGACTGCGCACGCAAATCGAGGTGAAGATAAAAGAGGTTTTCAAGGCCTTGGAAACACAGAATTTAATTTAAAAGCAAGTGATGACCTTTTGGGTCATCACATTCTCCACCTCTAAAACAACCGTTCGTCCTCGAACGGACAGAAGAAGAAAGTACTTGAGTCGGGGAAAAGATGGGGATAACGGATCCGCAAATCGGACTCGGACTCCCAGGTCGATGCCTCAGCAGGCTGACCTCTCCACTGAACATGGACAGAAGGAAAACTCTTCGACCTCAACTGACGAACCTGCCGGTCTAGAATAGCCACCGGCTCCTCCTCGTAAGACAAGTCCTTGTCCAATTGGACAGTGTTGTAATCTAACACGCGGGATGGATCGTCGTGATACCTCCGAAGCATGGACACATGAAACACTGGATGCACGACTGATAAGCTCGGTGGAAATGCAAGTCTATAAGCCACATCTCCCACTCGATCAAGAATCTCAAACGAACCAATGTACCTAGGGCTAAGCTTTCCCTTCTACCCAAATCTCATCACGCCCTTCATAGGCGACACTCGAAACAATACCCGCTCACCGACCATGAAAGCCAAATCTCGAACCTTGCGGTCGGCATAGCTCTTTTTCCTGGACTGAGCTGAACGAAGCCTATCCTGAATGATCCTGACCTTGTCCAAGGAATCCTGAACCAGATCCGTACCCAACAACTGAGCCTCCCCCGGCTCAAACCATCCAACCGGAGACCGACACCGCCTACCATATAAGGCCTCATAAGGAGCCATATAGATACTCGACTGGTAGCTGTTGTTGTAGGCGAACTCCGCTAAAGGCAAAAACTGATCCCACGAGCCTCCAAAGTCAATAACACAAGCTCAGAGCATATCCTCTAAAATCTTAATAGTCCGCTCGGACTGCCCGTCCATCTCGGGATGAAATGTTGTGCTCAACTCAACCCGTGTTCCCAACTCTCGCTGAACTGCTCTCTAGAAGCGCGAGGTAAACTGCGTACCTCGATCCGAAATGATAGACACGGGCACACCATGAAGGCGAACAATCTCTCGGATATAAATCTCAGCTAGCCTCTTAGAAGAATAAGTGACTGCCACACGAATGAAATGTGCTGACGTGGTCAGCCTATCAACAATGACCCATACTGCATCGAACTTTTTCCGAGTCTGCGGAAGTCCAACAACAAAATCCATAGTGAACCGCTCCCACTTCCACTCGGGAAGCTCAATCCTCTGAAATAAACCACCGGGCCTTTGATGCTCGTACTTAACCTGCTGACAATTCAAACACCGAGCCATA